TAACTGGGAAATTGTATCTAAATCCTTAACATATGACCAGTATAACACCTATTTGTAATTACTCTATTTCAAACCTAATATTTTAGTTCTGTATGTATGAGTCTGTCTTCCCTAAGAGATTGTAAGTTCCTGAAAGAGAGAGACACCTTTGAAATCTCTTTTGTATCCCCCACCACCTGACAGTTCTAGCCATATAACAGAAGCCCATTTTTGATAAATTAATGGTTCCTTAATTGCCATCTAACACTGACAGACAATACTAAGATTTCATTTTTCAGTCATACAGAATGCACACTACATAAGCTCATTCCAGCAGGTTGTGACAAAATTTTATATAAAGGAAGGATTCTCTTTTGGTTTTTGAGTAATTGCAGTATGTCACCTGTCTTAGAAGTTTGACTGCTATCTGAGTTTCTGAAGCAATAATTTCTTCACTCATTTCATAGAAACTGCTCTGAATTGCAAAACTCTGTCTAAAAATGTACCCTCTTTCACAGTATTCTTCAAGTATCAATTTCCTTAAAGAATCATTTCCGGGCACCCCAAATTTGGTCTCGATGTCCTTCCCATGTGTTCCCGGAGCAAGCTGGTTTATATGGCTCAGCTTAAATGGCTCAGTCTTATTCTGGTAGATACAAATTACATGTTCAGTTGATGGACTAAAAGAAAACTGGTGACCTTCAACTCCTTCCCCACCTCCAAGCTCTTTCCAGGGAGTTAATCAATAAAATAATGTCTGCCATGTATCTTTCATGCAATAAACAAATACGTACACATATTGTTGACATTTGTAAAGTAGCACACACTGTGCTAAGAGCATTCACACGTATTATTTCATTTCATTTCATCCTCAAGACTTTTCCCTCCAAACCCAGGCACCTTTCCCCATTCTTCTTCATTTCCATCTCCAGCATGAGCAATGGAAACTGAAACTCAAAATGACAAATCTGGAGGGCTACGGGAATAAACAGTTTTCAGACTACTCCCTTATGCTCAATATGTAAGCCTTAGACTCACTGAGTGTTAGCATGCCTTGAGAGCAGGGCGGTCATTCATCTGGGTAGACTCTTAGCTCCTACATCATGGCCAGCATGTGCTTTGTGCGCAATAAAAGGCCAACTGAATTCAAGGCAGGAGAATGATCCCTTTAGGAAGATTTTCAACATCAGGCTACAAATATAAGGAAAAAGTATTCTATTTTCCAGGCAAATCCAAACTTTTCTTGCTCAGCCATTTCTTTTCCTCAACTCTTCTGCTTAATCAAGATTTTACTGAAAAAATAACTCATTAATTAAAATCAAGTTCTCTTGCAGAGTTTAATATTCTTAGCTTCTTTCTGTCTCTTCATTAATAGCTCTAAAGCCAGTCGTAGTTTTAAATTCAAAATGGAATATATTACCATGTTTATCCTGCTATTTGCTGGACATTTTAACAAGCAGACTTAATTCATCATCAATCTTTTGACAGAAAATGTTCTTGCAGCCGCTACATGATCCCGGGTAAATCAGGACTAGCTCCCACAATTAATTTCTGAGGCTTTATACCTGTCAAAGAGAAACTGCAAATGACTTAATGTCTGGAAGGATGTCAGTGTCCCGGCTGTCATTATCTGCCAGCGAGCAATCTCAGCCCCTCTGCTCAGTTCCAAGTGAGGTGAAAGTGCAAGATTCTGGATCTGTTCCTAAGGGTTCCTCACTTTCAGAGAGAAAAATTATGAAATTATTGAGGTCTCATTTGACTCCATAATGGATATATTTTAAAGTGTGTGTTCACTTTTATTTAAAATATTGCTGTATCCTTACAAATTTAATACACTTAAAAAAAATCCTTTGAAAGTGCAAGTTTTGATTTTTGTCATTACCAAGTTATTTGACATTTAATAAAGTGGAATGAAAAGATTTTATCTCTTTTAAGCAAATGAAGATATAAAGCGGTTGCCATTTCCCCATCCATTTGTAGTTGCTGTTATACAGAGAGAAATGAGCTCGCCCTCAAACGTGTGTGCCTCAGTGTCCCCAGGCGGCTCACCAGCAAACAAAAGTGAACTCATGATTCAGATGGACTGGTAGGTTTGGGTCTTATACTGAATCCGCTTCTAGAATTTTTTCTGGAATTTGAGCCAATCATTCTGGGAAAATCATTTGTGATTTAAACGATGAATGGAGCTACGTTGTTGTTAGTTTACCTCTTTCGTTGGAAAGACATCCTTGGGTTCCTCAGGAATACAAAGGCAGGCAAAGTCACAGCCTTTCCAGGCCGAGATTCTTCTGCTCGAAAGCCAGCCCACAGGCCAGGGATCGCACCGCTGAAGAATTCTCATGACCAGTAACCCTCCAGTTAAAGTGGCCATTTGTGTGTCTTCTTCAAGGCATTTTTTTTTTTAATAAAGTTGCCCAGATTGGTTTTTGTCGTTGCTGTGAGACTTTATATCAGACAAGCTGTGTCTTCTGCCTCCCCTAAAACAGCTCAGTGTCTCACAACGGGAAGCTACTGGGCTATCCTCCAGTGCCTTGAGATGGACAGTCTCATGGCACAGGAGAACACAAACAGGGGTAAACAGACAATGAAATCCAGGCTGTCCCACGCCTCCACCAGAGAATCGTGGACTTTAAGGGCTTTCCAGGACCATCTAGCCTGATTTTCCATGTTACTGATGGAAAACCCTAGGACTAGGTTGGTTCAAGCACCTTTCCAAGATCACAGAGTCGATTAGTGGGTTAGAAACCTATCTTCTGGCTCCCAGATTTGTTGTTTCTAAGTCGTTTTATACTTCAGATCTTGTTCTCACCATTCCTGTGCTCTCCTGCAAAGGGCTGGCCTCCCCCAGCCTCCACTGCCATCTGCCTTTTTCACCAGCTTTGGCCACTGGTGGAAGATTGGTGGGCTGGAGAAGGGGAGAAGCAAGGAGGGTTTTAACAAGGTCCATGAATGGGAAAGCCGTAATATTCCATCTTCCATCCACAAGCATGAGGGTGAAAATCAAGATTTAACCCTTACATTAAGGATGGAAAACTTCAAAGCTTTCAGGAGCTGGCTGGGTCACCTGAGTGAACAAAGCCGGCCCGGGGGGCACCATGGAGAACACTTAGCCCATCTAAAGAGGAGAGGCCACCACACCACTCCAGACAATTACTGCCGTGTGAAAAAGCTGGCTTATGCTGCCAACTAGTCTGGTTTTCTAATTCAAGGAAGACATCCAGAATTGTATGCGAATTCTCTTAGTTTTAAATGATAGAGAGTATTTCATTTTTAATATTTTACATGATATGGGCCAAACACAACCTGGCCATAGGAGGAACCTGGTAAAGAGCTTGTGATCCTGGCTTTTTTTTAATTTATTTATTTTTTTTTTTTTGAGGAAGATTAGCCCTGAGCTAACAACTGCCACCAATCCTCCTCTTTTTGCTAAGGAAGACAGGCCCTAAGCTAACATCCATAGCCATCTTCCTCTACTTTATATGCGGGATGCCTGCCACAGCATGGCTTGACAAGCAGCGCCATGCCCGCACCGGGGATCCGAACTGGCTAACCCCGGGCCATGGAAGCGGAACATGCGCACTTAACCGCTGCGCCACCAGGCCGGCCCCTGTGATCCTGGCTTTAGAACAACCGCTCACCTGGGGACGGAAGGTGCACTGAGGTGTTCACAGTGCACTGCAGGGTCAGAGCAGCCATCGGGGCAGACCCTCTCTCCCCGCCCTCCACGTCTGATGCTTGGTTCTTCACAGCCGTCATTCTATCTTGCCAAATCATCTCAGCACCATACTGAAATATTACACTTCGCTTGGCCTATTTAAACCCAGACCAAGCATGATCCTACAGTGTTTGTGGGGATGGAAAGGGCAGCATTTGATAAAGAACATGCAACCGAGTGTCTAAAAAGCACACAAATCCTGTTGTAAGTACACGGCATACCTTCAGTTATTATCCACAAATAAACCCCGGTCATGAGGTTTGGGGTTCCTCTCGGTTGCATGTTGATGATAAATTCTCTGTGGAACTGACTCCAACCCATTAAGCAAGCTTGCTCCTGCCACCGTGGCTGTTAATTTGACAGGACACTGTCACATTAAGTAGAACAAACATGTTTTCGCCCAGTCGGCCATCCAGAACCGACATGGCTGTTACTCTAACAACCGGATATTGATTGGAATCACTCACCCCTTCCGACCCTCCACTGGGAGGTAGAGACCAAGCTTGGGCGGAGGGAGGGTTTGTTTCTTTGGCGCACACACGGAGCATGTTAAGGAGAGCCACAGATTTTAAGCCATTTAGTTCCTTGTCAGGTTCACCCTTCAGACACTATCTGATTCTCATTTTCATCAGTGGGGCGAGAGGCTCTGAATATATCACTGTGTTTATTAATTTTATGGATCTATGCATCTATTTGAGAGTCCTGTTATTTTTAACATTTACAGCTTTATAAATGCAAAACATCAGAGGGCACAAAAAGAATTCTATAATAAGTCCTAAAAGGGACTCAGAAATTTAAAATCCCTTGAATTTTAAAAAGGAAGATGGACTCTAGACCCACTTTTTTTTTTTTTTTTTGATGAGGAAGATTGTCCCTGAGCTAACATCTTTGCTAATCTTCCTCTGTTTTGCATGTGTGATGCCACCACAGCATGGCCTGATGAGCAGTGTGTAGGTCCACGCCTGGGATCGGAACCTGAGAACCCTAGGCCACGGAAGCAGAGCATGGGAACCCAACCATTAGGCCGCTGGGGCCGGCCCCTGGACTCTCTTTTTTAATCTGCATAATTGGGAGTCATCTACTTAGTTTCCAAATGACCAACCCATTTGCCAGATATTATCTTAAAGTCTTCTATAAATCAAACTCACCAGAATAGAACTAATATTTAGTCCATTTCTAATTTTTGGTTATTTTAAATCTGCTTACTACTATGTGTACATAACATTTAGCAGAGCTGGCTTTTCACCCAGAAATTGATTCATCATAAATAAAATTTATCCTGTGCAATTGCTGGGCTCTTATTTACCTGTGCCTCTGTGTCAGCTTGAGCTTCTTCTGTGCCTTGCTCTGTGTATTAACTTCCATGTTCATGGTGGAATCTCCTGGTAAAAAAGGACAGTAAAGGACATTTAGTCAAATTGTTCATCAGTGTCCCTTGTCTGCTCTTTAAAATTCCTAAGTGGGCATTCAATCTTTGAATACCTCCAGTCATGGCAAACTCATTAAACTCATTACCATGCTAGAGAATTCTATTTAAAAGTTATTGTTTTGCTTGGCAAAAATATGTTGGCATAGAGCTTCTACTCATTAGTCATAGATCCTCTGGTCATACAGTATAGGTCAAATCTCTTTTCTGTATGGAATTCGTTAAAATATTTGAAAATAGATAAGGTGCTCTCCCTTGTCCTCTCCAAGCGAAACAGTTCTTTCAAACTATTTCTTCTACAGTAGGGGTCGGCAAACTCTGGGCCAAGGACCACATACAGCCTGCCACTTATTTACGTAAAGGGACTGTTATTAGAATGTGTCCATTCGTTTACTTGCTGTCTATGGCTTCTTTCATGCTACCATGGCAGAACTGAGGAGCTGTGACGGAGACCCGAGGGCCCACAAAGCTGAAAATATTTAATGATCTGGTCCTTTATACATATAAAAAAGCTTGCTGACCCCTGACCTACACATGACATGTCAAGCCCCCTCATCATCTTTATTCTTCCCTGGAAGTCTTTCAGTTTTTCACTCTCCAAGACTGTGACCCCCAAGTCTTGAGAAGCTTGTGTCACTTTGTCTGGATCTTCCTTCTGCTAATGCAGACGAAGTCCATTGGCTTACAGAAATCCTCCATCTTAAAGCACAAAGAAACCCTCAGTGAAATCACTGAGATTAGCCTGGTTTGTGGTAGAAAAATAGAAGTTTTGGTAGCTGTTCTCCAAACCTTTTCTTATTCTGATGTTTCACTGCTGCTTTAAATATACATTTGAGGACGTATTCCTGCATAGCATTGCTCTAGACGCTGGATGAAATGCTAAATAAGACAGAGTCTTCCCCCAAAAGAGTTTACATCTGGTTGTATAGAGGAAATATTTAGGAAATCACTTGTTTATTTGTAAATTTCTTTATCTCCCTGCACTGATTATCAGCTCCACGAAGGCAAGTGCTCTGTCTGCTTTGTTCTCCTGGAACGGTGTCTGGCACATGGTAGATGCTCAGGAAATCTTGGTTGGGTGAGAGAACTAATTAAAAGAGGAAGACAAAATAACTACGTATTAAATTATGTGGTAAAGACTATTTAAAAAATAGGAACTTTGGGTAAAGAGAAATCAACATGGTCTGGACATAGAGCTGGATGGAAACTTGGTCATGCAATCCAGCTTCTCCTTTAAAAGCAGAAATCCTGCTTATAATCTTTAAGGTTAATATTTCTTACCTGCATCAGAATCTTCTAGTTCACTTATTAAAAATAAGCAATTCCTGGTCCCCATGACTGAACTACTGAATCAGAATCTCTGCATGCCAAGCCCAGAAACGCGTATTTTTAGCAAGCAGCAAAAGTGAATCTCCTGAACTCTAAACTTTAAAGCTACCACTCTCCACAGAAGGTGATACAACCTCTCTGTGAAAACCTCTAATGATAAAGAAATCATGCTATCACCGGCCAACTTCTGTTTTTGTTAGCTTTAGTTGTTGGAGAGAAGATATTTTTGCAATCCGCCTCTTGTAATTCCCAATCATTGGTCCCAGTTGCATCCATTGAAGTCATATGGCATGAATGTTATATTTTCTCTTCTACATGACAGCCCTTCAAATGTGTGAAGATTCCTATAAAATTTCTTCTCTAAGCTAAACATTTATTAGATGCTCTTATTTTGGTTGCTCTTGTTCATTGGCAGAACTTCCCGGTGTCTACCAGTTCATCCAGGATTCCTAATCTCTGTTGCCAGAGGAACCTGGCACCCAGAGCAGAGAGTAAGTGGTTCAGGAATTCACAAATAAACCTCTCTTCCTTCCGCTCCAAGGAAACAGTCCACCACAGCCCCATTCCTTACTCATACCCGCAGCCGCACTGTGTGCCTCTCACTCTAGCCCTTGATGTTGCATCTCAGCAGACCCATTGGAAGTGGGTAAGGAGAGTCTTCCCCGCTCATAAAGATCATGGATTCCAGTCTCTACACTATTTTTGGCACTCTCCTGAGTTCCATATTTCTCCATTTCTATCTTAAAATGTGTCTCCCAGAACAGACCAGTGTAGTGGTCAAGCTGTATGTCATAGACTCAGACTTAACCACTAATCAAGCACTAATTAGCTCTACAACCGTGAGTGGTTATTGTTTAAGCTTTCTTAGCCTCTGGTCATTTGTTCTATAAAATAGAGTGGTAAATCAGTGGTAATATAAGTAAGGCATTTCACACTGTACCTGGTACATGGTGAGCTTTCAATAAATGTTAACTATTATTACTACCTCCTGGTAGAATGAGACCAGTACTTCCCAGCAGCCCTGTGAGTGTTGTAATTTTTAATTTACATTCCCGTCTCCTCCTGCACATGGTGAACTTCTCAAGGCAGGGACCACATCTGACTTCTCTCCAGTTACAGCTACTAAAGGGCCACTGGGGAGAGCTCAAATAATCCAATACTCTCTAAATAATTTTTCAACCTGTCCAATCATTTGCATATTGCCAACACTCTACCTTGTGCTTCTAAACTAGGCCAACCCTAACACACACAACTCTGTGGGCAACCAATTTTAAAAAGCCACCATTGCACCAGTCCTGTTCTTGTTAATTGTCTTAACTTCCCTGCCCTTGTCCTTGCTCATATTCTGAGTCTATACCCATGTCTTACACCTGATCCTTTGGCTTGGTCACAAGGTTTTAGTTCTGCACTAGCCTTGTGGATATAAGGATGAGGTTTGAGCCTGTTCTCTCATTCTCCCTGTTTCTGACCTCTAAGAGTATCTACCCTGCCTGCCTCAGTTGCAGTTCCTGGAGCCTAGAGCTGCCTGCTCTGTTGGACACCTGGCCAGCACCCCAGCCGTGCTTGCCTTCCCACCCTAGAGAAGAGCAAAATGGGAGAACGAGAAAGATGTCACAAGACAGGGTTGGCTACACATCAGTCTGATCTGGCCCATCATGTCATTTTGCTCTCAACAGTCACATGCAGACCGAGGGTAACAACAATACATCGTTAATATTTCATTGCATTATCAGTGAGGAAGTGTCAATATGGCTGGTTCAAGAAGCCATGGGGCTATGTAGGTAAATCCCAGAAAATTTCATCAGTGTCATCTCTAGAAGTCAGAGGGGATGATGATGGTATCAGGTCTTAAAAGGAAAACCGCAGGTGCTGAGTTTGACCTCCTTTGTCTTTGTGGTGGTGACCCAACACCCAATCAATCTTAGAACTGGAGTGCGATGCTTTGCACAGAGAGGCTGGCGCAATTCAGCTGAGTGGGCGGGTTGATGGAAAGTGACTCTGGCACTGCTGAGTTCAAATGGAATTAAGGATTCATGAGCGCGCTGCACAGGCAGGCAGCAGAGCCCTGGGTGAAGACCGAATGAGTCACAAGGGAGACCCGGCTGGGCTTCAAATCCCAAATAAGCAAGGAATTGCTTTTTGATGATGCCAAACTATAAATATCATCACCTCAGAAAACCAGGTCCTCCTTTTACAATGTCAGGAATGAGCAAAGAAGACTACGAGGCCAGATGTGTATGTTATAGATGGGAATAACTCTTTGCATAAAGAACACTGCAACTCTGAAACCATTTTTGAAAGAATTTTGAAGAAATATTTCCCTTAAGCTATTCTTTTAATTGTATTTTAACCATATTAAAAGTCATGGATAGAATTCAAACAAATTTAGTTTCTCTGGGCTACTTACTAGGTGATAAAATTAAAAGCATTTTCTCCGTCCTACTTTGAGTCTGGTTCTGAGATGGCTCACGTTTAAGTGTCACACATCATAGAAATGACAGTGTGTCTCAGGTTCACCTGTTGTGTTTGTCCCTCCAGCCCCTTATACTTTTTCGAATTTCATTCTTTCAACTGAGGACAGAAAGCTACAGAATAGCAATTGTATTTTTGCCAGAAATTTCCTAAAACCATTGAAAAGAATGTGTCCAGAATCCTTGGGTTTTAAATCTTTGATTCCGCTGTGCAGCTCTTCCAGGATCGCTGGCTGCAGGACTTAATGAATTAGTTCAGATCTTGCTCACAACCCAGGAAGGTATTAAGTGCTGGATCCTCGAGACCTGTCCAATTCTGCAAGGCCAGGAGAGTCCTATTTTCAGCAAGGCAGGGCCCAAATAATTTGCCAAAGTATAGGAAGCTGAAATCCTGCTTATAATCCTGTTCTGCATCCATCATGTGCCTGGGATGAAGCGACACACTTTAACACTGGAGCCATGTGTGCAAAAGCTGTAAGTACATACGGAGACACATACAGACATAAACCTGTTACAGTACTGTAGTCCCACCCTGCAGCTTTCAATACAATGTGTCAAACAAAGGGAAATAAACAAGACCTAATTTAGGGGAGATAAATTATGCATGTAGGGGCCTGGATCAACATGGCTGTACCACACTGTAATGTCTGGAAGCTGATTAAACCAAAGCAGGTCTGAGCTCTGAACTACGTGACCAGAATTCCATTAAGGCTGACTCTGTGCATCATCTGGCAGGAACTCATCTACTTGCTCTGATCTCTTCCAATTTCTGACTGTTCTCTGTGGTTCTTTGTTGACTCAAGGGAAGGAGGCAGTGCTGCTGGCTACTTTGTGTTCCTATCTTTACAAACATCTACTAAAAAAATTCCAGCACCTTACCAGACAAATGCAAATAAAACATTATCTATTTGATTAATCGCAGCAATGTCACAAGACATTCATCTTTTATTAAAAAGAATCATTGGCTTTCCAGAATTTTCCAGGAGTTTTCATTGTTTTCCTCCATTTTCATGGTAATGTAAAGGAAAGCAATGTTGTATAAACCCAACACTGCTCTTTTCGTTGGATGTAATTTACACCATGTAAACTTCACAGCTCCCTTTCAACACTAAAATTACACGGTGGGCTCTTCATCTGGGATTTTTATTGTGTAAAT